ATGGGCTACCATACGATCTCAAAGGCAACGATAACCAATCTGGCAAATTTCGATGTGAAGAAAAGAAAATTCAAGTTTTATATGTGACTCCGTAACCTTTGAAAACACCATAAAACCTGTACATGGGGGGGGGTACTGTTATACCCAGAAGACTTCACTGAACACAATTATTAGTGTTTTAAAACAGTAAAACGTATCACAACAGTTATATAGTCAGTGAAAGTGCAGTTTGTGTAAAAAAAAAAATATATATCATATCCTCGCTGTAATATGTTTTACTGATTTTAAATACTAATATTTGTGTTCAGTGAAGTCTCCCGATTAAAACAGTACCCACCATTTACAGGTTTTATGGTGTCCTGGAAAGTTACAGGGTTAAATACAGGGCTTGCTAGCCAAATTCTCAGGACTTTCTGTCTGGGTTGTCAGGCAGGTCCACCAAATTGTAATTAATAAAATGACTTAATTCTGTAAAAATATTATATAAATATATTTGTAGAATTTAAATATATATATATGTGTGTGTGTGTGTGTGTGTGTGTGTGTATATATATATATATATATATATATATATATATATTTATTTATATATAGCTATATATAGAGAGAGGTACATAAATGTATTTATAACGTCATCCTAAATGTATTTTGAATTTAATATATATGTATATTAATGTCAAAATACAGTTAGAACAAACCGGTATATAATTTTTTTTAAATGTATTTATTTTTATTTCAGTTTATTTATTGATTATTTGTATTTTTCTATATATTAAAATACACTTAGAATATACATTTAACGTCATTCTAAGTGTATTTTAATATTAATATATATACAGAGCTACAGAATTTTGCTAGTGCTATATAAATAATAAAATAATATATATAAATATTCAAATACACTTACAATATTGGTTTATGTATGTGTATGTGCATATAAAAGTTCTTCTTCTTATTATTATTATTGCCATTTATATAGCGCCAACAGATTCTGTAGCGCTTTACAATATTATGGGGGGAGGGGGGGATGTTACTATAAATAGGACAATTACAAGAAAACTTACAGGAACAATACTTTGAAGAGGACCTTGCTCAAACGAGCTTACATTCTATAGGAGGTGGGGTGTAAGACACGTTGGGACAGGAAATATCAATCAAATAGGGTGGGAGTGAAGCAGAGCTGGAGGAGAGAGTAAAGTACTGCCCTATAGCAGAGAGCAAGAGGCAGTTATGTAAGATAGAGGTTACTCTGGGAGGCCATAAGCTTTCCTGAAGAGATGGGTTTTAATATATATATTTATAAATATATATATGATCTAAGTACCTTTATTAAACGTTTTATTAACTTTTAATAACTTTCTAAACTTTTTTGCAGGCATTAGGGGGACTACCTGAGTGCTCAGGCAGTCCCCCTGCAGGCACTGCATAAGCCGGCTATTCCGGCCATGTGATCGCAAGGACCCTGCGATCACATGGCCCGCAAGGGGCAAATCGGGCAGAGAGGGTTGGGTGAACGGCGGGGACCCGGTGAGTACAAAGGACGGCGGAGACGTTCTGTGCCGCCCTTCCGGCATTTAGAGCCATCCCAAAAAGGAAGGCATAGAACGCCCGCCGTTCTTAAGGGGTTAAATGGATACTTCAACTTCTCTCGTGGTTTTTCGTTTTTATTTTTGACACCCATGAAAACCTACCGGCTACCCCAACACTCCGGTTGCCCTTGTATAAAACAAAGCCTTGTTCCTTTGATGATATAGAAATAGGGGGGATTGACAGTTTGCGCTTACATCTCACATTGAATTCTCACTTTAGTTAATAACCCTGATAGTCTAAGTGATTTTCAAATTTAGGGCCAAAGTACTAAACCGAAATTATAACTGACTTAGACGATCTTTCCAGACCATAAAATTGAGAGTCACTTTGAATTCTCAGTGCAGTAAATAACTCTGTATGTCTCAAATCCCAAGTTACAACAACACGTGCAATCATTGACAAAAATGTTATGTTAACAGACAGTGACACAAGATCTTCTAGAGCAACTTCAACCACAATTACGGTAAAACAAGCAATTTGGTCCTCAACCACCCATACCTCATAACCACAAAGCAATGGGAAGCAATTCAGAAACCCTTTTAGTCATTTTGCAAGGCATCAAAGCAGTGGACAGTCTTCTCCCTCCAAAATTCACAATTTTCCTCCCACTTGTTTGAGAAGATACAAAGGGTTACATTGTTGTTCTGGGCTTCTTCACTCGTAAAATATGGTGATATTCAGTGATCTATTACAAAAAGATTATTGAAGTAATGATTGTACCCAGTCTCAGTAAAGTAGTATTACTGGTATTTACATAGGTCCAACTTGTTCCATAGCGCTTTACTATGTTATAAAAGGGTAAATTTACCTACAAATGAGAAAATTACAAAACCTTACGAAAAAAATAGGTCAATGGAGACCTTGTAAAAAATTACCTTACAGTCTAGATTAATAGTATACAGGACAAAACTGTAAATGACCAGCAGGAGAGGGGTTATCCAACAGGAGAAAAGATTACCTTTCTGGTAAGCACATTATGGCAGGGCCTATAATATGTAAAATCAGCTTGAGCATGTATTCAAGGTGTGACTGTAGGGAGAGTTGCTTACTTAAAAATCCAGCCCAGGTCGTCTAATTAACCATTAATACCTTGTAAGGGTTGTGCTGTGTAACATGGGGTTACAGCGTACTTGTGTGAATAGTATTCACGTAGAAACTGTATTACAACTTCCTGTTCATCTGTCTTATTAACCGTATTTTATGTTCAATGAAATAGATATCTGACGTTTTAAGAGCGCCGCTTCAGTGTATTGCACTTTTTGTTGACACGTGTAAGAAGCAGAATTTTCAAGTTCACAGGAATTGGGATCCAGTCTTCCTTCCAGATTAGTTTTTGGTCTCTTGCTTCTCTTTGTCTGTTTTTGAGTTATCTTTTCACCGCTCCATGGTTGTATTTCGATGGGCATGTTTCAAGGGGCGGCTTAGTGCATGAGGCTGTGTGTAGGCAACAGAAATGCCTGGTATCTCAAACACACGCAGGGGATCCTGGTGATCAAACAAAAGTAATAATTAATAAATCGTAATCGTGAAATTTGTAAAGAATGAATATGTCTCCATAGCTGGAAAGAATGTCTTTCCATCCCTAATATACAAGACTACAGGTGGTCCTCACTTTACGACCTACCTGTTTTATGACGGCTCGCACTTACGACTAGCTCTCTATCGTGGGGATTCAAGGGATTCTCCACAATAGAGAGCTGGTCTATGCTCGGGGAATATTCCCCGAACATAGAAAAACATACCAGAGCAGGGAATCCATCTAATCTATGTTTGGGGAACGTTCCCCGAACATAGATTTAAGGGATGCCCTGCTCTGCTGTGCTTGTCTATGTTTGGGGATGTTGGTGCGCATGCTCTGTAGGGCATCCTCACTTACCGACCAATTAATTTTACAACGGGTCGTACGAACGGAACCCGGTCGGAAAGTGAGGAGTAGTTGTATTCTCATCTCTCTTTCCTCGGTCCGGGTGATTCAGTCCTGGGATCTTAACGTAGTATAATTCTACGAGGAATTTTAAAACTAGTATATTGTTCACAGTCTTGGTAAACGGATTATAAACCTTCTTCACGAAGGATGATAGAATGGCGTACTCTCTATTACTATTTAGTGTCCTGTGGTGTATCAGTACTAAAATTCAAGTATGTTCTATCAAAAGAAAGCCAAAATGTACACCAGGCTTCCCCAAACTCCAGCCCTCCAGATGTTGCTGAACTAAAACTCCCATGATTCTATGAATGAAAAAGATAGGCTGAGAATCATGGGAGTTTTAGTTCAGCAAAATCTGGAGGGCCGGAGTTTTGGGGAAGCCTGCTATACACCATCATTGCTAGGACCGGTGTGCCATACTCAACTTCCAGTAGCCACTCATCCTGTTATTTCTGCCTGTTCTGTAGTACATTGCAGAGCTGCTTCAGTTCTTCTATTTGTTGAGACATCAACGCCCAGGACCTGCAGGCACTATAACCACCTCATCGAGAAGATTTTATTGTTCCCCATAGACTTTATTACAAAAACAGAGAAAATGAGAAGTCTGAGAATGTAAAAAAGGTCAGAGAAACCTCAGTAGCTTGCCCTTCATTAGTCCCCAGCACAGGTCTCAAAGATCCTATACCATTTACATATCAGATTGGTCTCACCCATAGGGGCAGTCCAGAACCGAAATACCGGCAAGCTCCCTCCGCACGGGAGATATCCTGGACAATCGTTTTGGCCTTCTTTGGGCCTCATCAGCGAGGTGTACATGATACTCCTCTAGGCACAGCTAGCATGGGATCCACATCTGGATTACCCTTTTAACTTAGAGAGAGCCTAACAAATGCAGAGGATGAGACTATTGAATAAAAAAAAAAAATTGCTACAAACTGCTATATAGGGTGATTTTTTTTTTAAAGCTATGATTGGGGATTGACAGAGTTTTGTAGAATTTGGAGACAAATATTTATAAAAAAGAAATGAAAATGCATCAAACTAAGATTACTGTACTATCTTCCAAATACTTACAACCAAGGAAAATTAATTTTGCTGTGTCAATTTTTTTTTTTTTTCATTTTTAGTAAGTAGAATTTAAATCAGCTTCTCAAAATGTTAAGACCAAGTCCAATTGCAATTAAATACTCGCTGATTGCAAGTCCAATTGATTGAAATCTTATTCATAACTTGATGACAAACAACTACCTAAGAAAAAGCTTTAATATGATTAAAGCCTCAAATTAAAATTTTTGGATAAACTTTAAAATGTATTTATATATATATTTTGTCAAAATATAAATATATCAATACATCAAAATATTGTAAACATTTTTTTACTTTTTTACTTTTTAATAATTTTGAAAAGTTTATCCAACAATACTAAATCAAGGTCTAAGTTGTGATGAATTACAATTTTCTAACATGTTCATGAACTGAGATTGTTAAATTGCCGTCATGGCCTGTTTTTTGTTTTTTTTCCCACAGTAGGAGAACTGTGAATTATTGAAGACCTTTCACTTGGATAAGTCAAATAATGGAGAAGGAGGTGTGTGTCCAGAGCTGGCCGTGTTCATATTTCCTAAACCGTGAAAGACGATGGCTGCCTGGGAAGCTTTCACTGACACCAACACATCTACGGTTTAAGGCAGAGAGTACAAGTGACTACTTAGTGAACTTCCACCTTTCCAGCATTTGTGAAATCAAGAAGGAGTCATCCAGTTACATATTCAGCTCAATCACAGTTCTAGAGAAGGACCAAGCAAAACATTGGTTTAGTTCTCTCCAACCGAACCGGAGTGTTGTCTTCAACATTATTGAACATTTCTGGAGAGAGCAGTTACTCTCCTCTCAAGGAGCTCAGGACACTTCTTCAAAAAACTCTACAGGACAGGAGCTTGTTAATATTGCTTCTGGGTCCCAGAAACAAATGGAAGATACAACTAAGGTGCTTCACCACCAGGGGCAACAGTTTGAGAACATCATGAAAGGCCTGAACAAGATTGAAGGAGACATGGCTACTGCTGACAGGTGAAGTGAATGTTAAATCCTGATTATTAACGATGATATCTTAATGCTCTTTATTTAAATAATTATATTGTTTTCACAGAAGTTCAAAAATGTCAACTTGCTTGGTCAACCTTAAAACGACACTCTTGGTAGGGGTTATTTTTTTGGGGGAAGGGGGGCGACTAGGGGTTTGGGGACCCTAGTCACCTGGAGTGGTTACATTTTTATTCAGGTCCCCAACCACATTCTTAATTATGGCCCCCACCCACCGCTCAGGGGTGGGGTCCGGGGGGGAGGACAGTAGGTCCCCCCTCCACATTCTTATTTAGGGCCCCCACCCATCACACAGGGGTGGGGGCAAGAGGTATTTTTTTTTTTTTTTTTTACTTAGTATTAGTAAATTTGCTGCTTATTTTATGTTATTTTAAGTGATTTCCCTATCCACATTTGTTTGCAGGGCACTTGTCCTACTCTTACCCCCATTTTACTTCCTTTTGCAGCCCTCTAGCCCTTTCCAGGACTTTTTTAGAGGCATTTTAGTGCCCAAAAGTTCGGGTCCCCATTGACTTCAATAGGGTTCAGGTTCGGGGTCAAGCTTGATCCCGAACCCGGACTTTTTTTTGAAGTTCGGCGGAACCCGCCGGACCCGAACATCAAGGTGTCCACTCAACTCTAATTACTGGGAGTATTATTGCTGTGGAGCTCTGTTATACACTCAGACACACCAACTATATAAAGCTCCTAGAAAAGAGAGACATTAGGATAAAAAGGAGAGACAGAGGGATTTAGGCCCAAAATTGGGACTCTCCTTCCTAAATAGTGATACTTGGGAGGTATGATTTAGTGCTTTAAAAACTGTGTGGTGAGTTGTATACTGGTTTGTAATTGCTTTAATCCCTTTGAAGGAGAACTGTCACTTTTTAATATCACAATTTTGTTTAATAAATATGTATTTGTGAAGTTTGAAAAATAGAATGTAATTGATCATTCTAACCCTCTACGAACACAACGTGGAAGGTGCCAGCAGGTGGCGCTAGATTCATTAGAAACATTAAAGCATACATGCTCCTTTTTATCCAATGGAATTATTATTAATATCAGCGTTTATATAGCACCAACATAATCCACAGCGATGTACAATAATCCATTTGGAGATATAAAACAACAAGTATTGGCAGAGATGAGGTGAATAGGGCCACACTCAAAAGAGCTAATAATAAATATTACAATTTGTTTTGGCTGGTAATTAACTTGGATGTGACAGAGCAAACCTAAAGCACAGTATACTCACGTGACTGACAGCTTAGATTTCATGTCAATTTAAGCTTTTATTAGCATTTTTCAATTCAGATTCTAGAATATATTGGCATTTCTTTAAAAGGAAATTTCCTGTGTGTGTGTGTGACTAACACACACACACTGTCACATACACAGTTTCACTTACACACAAACGTTCAGTGACATTCACAGTGCCACTTCACATTTCACTAACACACACACACTCACTGACATACACAATGTCATTTACACGCAGTCACTAACACACACAGTGTCACTTACACACTCTCACTCACACATAGTGTCACTGACATACACACGCAGTTTCACTGTGGTAGGTGTGGTCGTGGTGGTAGGAGTATTCATGTGCAGTGTTTCTGCTTGAGTTTAGTTAATAGTGTTCAGGGTGCTAGTTGCACCCACAGCACACATGACTTGGGCAAGCCAGAACTCTGTTTCGGGCTTCCAAATGTAAATTCTGTGCATAAAAAAAATGTCTATCGCCAGCGCACACTTCAGTTTTCTCTTCCCTTCCACTGTGTGAGCCCTCCTGTCTCTGTAAACTGTAAAATTGTTTTTTATTTAAATTAAAATAATTCCCTACCCTCCCTCCCTTCCCTACTTCCTCACTCCCTCTTACTCCCCCCAGCCATCACCCCTTACCTTCAGATGGACCATACGTAAATGCTGTGAATGGAGCAGAGGGGTCCAGCCTGCAGGTAGCTGCTGTTGTTTCTGGTGGGGGGAGCAGGAGAGCTGTGCACTGTGAGCACAGGCTACTCGGAGTGCTTCTGGTGTTCGCAGGCAGGGGGCAGCCGGGAAGTCATGTCATGTCCTTCAGGAAGCCCAGTGCTTTGCTCGGGTGCTGGGGTTACAGCATACCCCGCTCCCCAGCAGGAAGCCTCCTGGTGGACGCCCCCATGAGGCTGGCACCCCAGGCAAATGCCTTATTCGCCTAATGGTAACGCCGTGCCTTCTCCTTTTTTTTGTGGTTTATAAATGTAGCAAATGTAGCAGAACTCCTTGCAGCTGTAAGTCCCCCAGGACAAAGCAATGAATACACTGTTCACAGCAGTATTTGAATGTCGTGACTACGCTGGGGAGGTATGTACCTATCAAGTCCCCCACATTCCTAGATACTGCATGGTGGCATCTATAGCATCCTGGAAAACCACAAATGGAACTATGTGTAAGTCAATGGCAGCCACGCTAGAATAATATCAGTTCGAGACGTTCAGATGAATGGAGCTGCAGGCAAGAGCTGAATGGCATTCTGTGAATAACAGCCCTAACAGAGGCTACACTCGGCTCCGGCCGAAAACAAACAATAAAAACAGGTTAGGATTGCCTGGCAGGCTATAAACGTTTCCCTAATTTGAGCAGAGCTCCCTGCTGGAAAATTCTAATCTCAAGAATTTGCAACAGATGCAGAAAAGTCAAAAGCAGTATTTATATATATATATTTATATTTTCTAGAATGATTTTTTTTTCTTCATATTTTTAATGCATTATCCATATGATGCATTAACGTGGCCTGCAGTATTTACTGAATTTGTTGGCTTCTCTCTTCTTATATTTTCTATTCTTTGATATCATTAGGGCTCGCTACGACCCCCTGGTAGACCTCTGTTAGATCTTGGTATTTTCTCTTATTCCTGACGACCTTTGATGGATTTGTAACACTGAGGAGCATTTTCCTCACCTGGCACAACTTGAAAAGGCAATCCCACAACAGTGCGCTTTCTCATCCGCCTTCTCTTGTGTCGAGAGCTGCCATCCTATGGAACAGACTGACACCTTCCAAGGAAAATATTGACCCAAATGAAAATTTCTTCCTATCTTGTAAAAGTTGTGAAGCACAGCAGCCGCCTAATGTTTAATAAGTGACAGCAAAGTCTAATGTTTTACGATAATTTAACCTCTGTGGTGCTCGGGAGACTTGCTGGCGTGTTTTAGGCCACAGTCTGGCAAGGTGTAACTGGCACAGAAATGGTTAATTAAAATAGTGAATCACCATTTTCATAGTGCTATTTATTCGGCTGTGTAACATTACCTCCCCTTATTATTCTGGAAAGAGAGATGAGATTTAATGTTTCCTGGTTTGCAGTATTTTGTGATTGAAAGGATGTGAAGGCTTTGCAATTGTGTTGGAAAATGGAAAGGCTTAGACTTATCCATAGGATCGCTGAATATCCAATGATTTCTTGCTTTAACTGGCTGCATTTAAAAATCTATTAGATTGAATAGATTTGAACACAGTTCAGCCTTCCTAAAGGAAACATTATAATCTGGGCTCAGCCACCCATAATGCAGACTTACAAAGTGTCTCTATGTAGAAGGAACAGTCCCTATTTTGGGCCCGAATCCCTTTGTTCCTCTTTCTTATTCTCATGTCCCTCATTTCTAGGAGCTCAGTTGTGTTAGTATGTGTTCATTTTAGTTGTATAAATTAGTAAGTCACCTAAATTTTGCCAGAACAACCCCATCTACCCCACAGCTCACACCACTCCCACCCCTGAAATGAAAGTGTCCCTTTATGTCCATTTGAAATGTTAGGAGGTATTGCATAATAAAGAAATGTAGAAATCGTGTTTGTTTTTCAAACTTTCCTGGTTCCTTGAGTGAAGTGGGGTGAAAACTTTTGAAGACAAAGAAACATTTTGGATATATCTGTCAATTCCCCCCTTCTATTTCCCAAAACCTGCATATAGGTATGCACACATACCACTGTGGATAAAATATTAAACTTGTGATGATATTTATTATTACAATTGCACCACCTTTGGTGTCCCGGAAGTGGGGGCGTGCTCAGAACCCTGTGTGATCCATCCTGGTATACCTGGGAGCAGTTTGGGGAGCAGTTGGTTGGGTGAACTAACAGACATAGCATCCCACCCACACAGGGGGCCTTCCAGTTATATAGGCCCTTAGACCCCTCCTCATGGGAGGGTCCCCACTTCCTTTCCCCTATTTAAGCCCGCCCACCCTAGGTCCTGGGCTCAGTTGTTTTATGAACTCCCTAGGGATCAAACGTCTCCTCTGCCTTGGTTAACCCCTGCCTCTCTGGACCAATGCTGGACCTTATGGTAAATCTTTCCCTAGTTGTTTATTTAGCCAAAGACTTTATACTTTTGCTTGCTTATCCTGTCTAGAATGTAAACTAAGAATGTATTTTGTTTTGGTGGTCCTGGTCCTACACTATTTTGTTTTGTTCTCTTACTTTTCAGCTAATGCCATTTGTTTTATTAATAAAGACTTTAAATTAAGTGCATGTGCTTTGTTCAGATCTCTGCATACTAAGCCCATTCACCACAAACCTGTGACACTTTAGAAATTTGCCCTGGAATTGACCTCAAACCCCCAATGTCTTTTTTATTATTATTTAAGCCCACATTTCTTTTTTTTTAAATTCTTTATTTATGAAATGATCAGACACCACAACAGTATATGCAACATGATGCAATAAAGAACAACATCGCAATCACCAAAACAATGCGCATTACTTGTAAAAAACAAACAATATTGCAAAGTCTGACTACCAATCACAAACAGCATATCTAACATATGAATGTCGTCTTTACGAGTTTGATTACTGCGGTATCCCACCCATTTTATTTTAAGTAAGACAATAAGTTCCCATCTGATAGTGAAATACACAATGATATTTCACGCTATCCATCCATAGCTACCCCTAGAATGCAGTAAGAATTTGGCTAGGTCAATGAACCAAAACTCAGTGTACAGGGATGACATTTATGCGAAGATATTTTAATAATAGCCTACCAATAAACACCCCTCGACCCGCCCCTCCAAATATAGCTTCAGTGAGCCATATGGTAACTGGGCAGTAACCAGATAGATGGGAAAAGACAATAAAAAGATAAATAAAGAAAAGAACAGGTTAACCGAAAGAGGAGTACCAAAAGGATAGAAGAGAAAAAAGAAGAGAGAGTAGGATTGGGAGGGGGTATTATAGTGATTTTCCCAGAATAGTAATGATGCCGATACGATCAGATAGCTGGATAGCCACGAGCCGGGATGTTTTTAGCAAGTACCGCCATGCCAGTGCGAAAAACTATAAACCGTGAACATCTCGTGGGATCCTGAGGGTCCCGCTTCGGAAGGGGGAGTAAAAGTGTGCTATGCATCCTGTCATCAATAGAGGTGTTTCGGGGTACGCAGGGAACGAGCCCGTCCCCCACTCCCCTAATCACCCACCCCACTAGCCACCCACGGGTTCCAAATCTTTTCCATTTTCTTCTTAGTGCCCCGGACCCTAGCTGTTAACTCGTCCATTATGTATGTATCCTTAATCTTTTGTATCACCACCTCCATAGGGGGGGTCTCTCCCTGTAGCCACACTTGGGCCATGGCCCTTCTGGCAGCCAGGGTCACCTTATGTAGTAAATTTTGTTCCGATCTGGACCAGTTCTCCAGCGATCTGGCCAGGAGGAAAACCCAGGGGTCTGGTTTGATCACCCTATCAAAGATATTTCCCAGTAAATCCGCGACCCGTTTCCAGAATTTTTGTGCCTCTGGACAGACCCACCACATATGTAAATACGTCCCTTTCTGGCCACATCCTCTCCAGCATAAATCTGTATTAATTTTATTCATCCGGTAAAGCTTCGCCGGGGTAGCGTACCACCGGAACATAGTCTTATAGGCTTGTTCTTGAAATGTGACACAAATAGACGAGGTCGCCGCTGCCTCCCAGATCTCTTGCCACTCAACACCCTCCAGTTCCTCATTCAGATCCATTTCCCATTGAGACGTATAATGAAGCTCCCCCCATTCAGATGTGGTCGTACTGAGGTGCGCGTATAAGTTAGTGATGAGGCCTTTCGGAAATTGTTCTTGAATGCACATTCTTTCAAAAAACGTGAGTGGAGTCAAGGCGCTAGTTTTAATCTGTGGGTTATGGGCGAAGTCCCTTAACTGGAGGTATCGAAAAAAATTGGAGGGACGTAGAGTAGCTCTGGACTTCAAATCATCGAAGGATATAAAAGCACCCCCCTCATAAAGAAGACATAGTCGTTGTACCCCTGTGCTCTCTATGCCCTTAAAGTTTCTGGCTTCCAATCCCGGAGGGAACGCTCGATTCCTCAGATAAGGGGCCAATGGGGTTAAGCCCACATTTCTATAGGTTCTTTTAAAAGTAGCATGTTACTATATTCACAGGAATAAGGCCCTGGGGAGATAGCACGGCTAAGCGGACAAGGACACATGTTTGAGTGTGGGGATGGATGCTTGTGATTGGCTGTGTATGTATGGGAGTGGTTATGTGTTTGGGAGTGGTGTAGAGATCATCTTACCTCAGTGCCTCTTGGGAGACGGGCCAGCAAACAACTTCTCTACCACCCACCCTCTTTTCTATTTGTTATTGTTTATGCTACAGCTAGCGGGGGGCGTGTCCTTGCCAATAGGTGTTGGGGAGCTATCACATGGAATGTCAGGAGATGGACAAGGTCGGGTCTCAACCTCCCCTGCTCTGTAGGATAAACTTTTCCATTACCGACTTGGACGTGCTCACCGAGCTAAAAGCCGGCTGGTGGTGAGCATTAAAAGGAAAAGGCGAGAATCCAGTGGGAAAGTTGGTGCATAGGCACCTGGCCTCATTCATTTGCAAAGACGTTTATGTATGCTGTAGGGCCTAGGTGAATTTATATGTTAAGTTAAGGATTATTTATGTATTTTTCTATGGTTATAATTAAATGATAAAGTTAGTAAATGTTGGATGAGTCTTATCGTCTTATGTTTAATAAATGCTGTGTCCTGTTTCATCCAAATTCGGTATTGGAGGTTATTTGGGGTAGGCTCTGTTTTTCTTATTTGCACCACATTCCCCACTACGTCCATGCAAGACAAGACCATGTGTTTAAGTCTTACGTTAACCAGAAAGTATCTATAGTTATAAATGGATAAAGATACATGCGAGATATGTAGACCATTAGGGATACCTCATCTAGTGTAGTCTTGGAGCACTATAATTTTTGATTTTCTTATCAATGTACTTACTCTGTTCTGTCATTTACAGGATGCTGTGTATACTTGAATCTCCTTCTTGGTGGCCCTTCAGCATGAAGCCTTGGAAGAGTGCTTCATGTGTCCAGCGCAAAGAAACCTCCATGGACTCCAGTTCTCAGGTTAATGACAAGGAAGGTAGCCTACTGATGATCCCAGTAATCTTCTCCAACAAACCAGATCAGCAATTTAAACCGGGGAAGCTCACCTTGTTACCAACCGCCCTGGAGATCTGGGACTGTAATTCTCAGCTGGTTCACCGATATGAGATACAAGATGTGGATGACATCAAAATCTTCACTGGATATGATATTAGTGTTCGGCAAAGATTTATTGGCAAACCAGACATCACATATCGAATTCTGTCGGCTAAGCTGCCTGACATTATCCCAATTCTGGAAATGCAGTACAGTAAGAAGATTGAATTCCTTGAGGACTCTTTAATGTTCCGTGAAGCATGGAAACACACTCCAAGCGATGGCTCTAGTCCTATACTGGAAACTGGTATGAAAATACAATTTCATGTTTTTGTATGGCTTATGTTAGTTATGTGGTTAGCAATATACGAGGAGTGTAAAACTGTGTCCATCTGTTATTTAATATATATATATTTTTTAAAACACTCAAATTTTAAAGGAACACTATATGGCCAAACATGTATTTCTGACCATGTAGTGTTAAAACACCATCTAGCCTCCCTGACTTCATCTTACCTCCCTAAATATAGTAAAATCTTACTTTTACTCCAATCTGCTGCTGGCGGCTCTGGCCCTGATCTGGCTGACAGCATAAGAAGCGTTAGTCAAAGCCAATCAAAATGCTTTCCCTATAGGGAAGCATAGGATTGGCTGAGACTGTCAAGGAGGCAGATCAGGGGAAGAGCCAGCACAAGCCAAACACAGCTTTGGCCAATCAGCGTCTCCTCATAGAGATGAATTGAATCAATGTATCTTTATGAGGAAAGTTCAGTGTCTGCATGCAGAGGGAGGAGATACTGAATGTTTGGATGCATTTTAGGCAGCCATGACCCAGGAAGGATCTCTAACAGCCATCTGAGGAGTGGCCAGTGAAGTTATCACTAGGCTGTAATGTAAACACTGCATTTTCTCTGAAAAGACAGTGTTTACTGCAAAAAGCCTGAAGGGAATGATTCTACTCACCAGAACAAATTCAATAAGTTGTAGTTGTTCTGGTGACTATAGTGTCCCTTTAAGGTCGTATATACACCTACATTACCTTTTCTTAGAACATTTTTCACAGCATGCATTTAACCTCCTTAAAGAACCATTACTATGTATTACAATCATTTTACACTTTAATCTCTAAAAAGAATGCCATTTGATGGCAAATCAGCGTGCACTTTAGAAGATACGTGCCATTTGATGCCATCTCCGTAAAGTTCTAGGTACCAACCTACCTGCAGTGATTTTTATACCGAATCAATAGAGGAGACAGACTAGACCCTCTAACCAATCGCTTACAAAAACAAGGGTTTTCCAGAGACAGACCTAATTCGCTGTCGGAGGAAGCGGGTATAAAATTACATGTAGCTTCAAAATATACATCGAGTTTTCACATCTGTCAGATATGAGCACGATTGTAATATGTGTTACAATCAAAAAAGCAGCTTCATGGGCTGTAATCAGACAGAATGTATTGTTAAATATGTGTTTTCTGGTTAGGTCTGATACCAAAGCTGTAAAAAGAAATGAAACCACAATAGGGAGTTACATCACAAAGCTAAAACTGACCAAAGGGCCACTTTGCAGGTCTACCCCATAAAGCCACAAGCAGGTCCAAGAAGTAACCACCTTTCTAGTAGGATTGACAGTATACGTACAAATTTTACATATTGAATTGGCAGCCATGACGTTGATGGAGGTAATAGGACTGGTCTACAGTCTCCATTAGCTAACACAGTATTATAGTAAACAACACTTAGATCGCAAAATTAGATACAATTGCCTGCAGCATAGATCATCATACAATCCTCAGGCATTATCAAAGGTCCTAATTTAGAGGATCTTCTTATATTGATCATAAACAGCTTCTTCTTAACCTCTGTAATCTTGCTCTACGAGATACTGCTCTCACCTGGTGCTCCTCCTACCTCTCCCAGTGCTCTTTCAGTGTTTAATTCTCTGGATCCTTTCCCCAACCCCTCTATGTTGGTGTCCCCCCGTCACCTCTCTCTGTTGGTGTTCCACCAAGGTTCTGTCCTCGGTTCCCTAATGTTCTTGATCTATACTGCCTCCCTTAGTAAACTCACCAGTTCCTTTGGCTTACAATATCATTTCTGTGCAGATGACATGGAAATCTATCTGTCCTCTCCTGATCTCTCGCCACCCCTTTTGACTGCCTCTCTGCTATTTCTAACTGGATGGCTGCTCACTTCCCTAAAGAGACACTATAGTCACCAGAACAATTACAGCTTAATGTAGTTGTTTTGGTGAGTATAGCATGCCCCTGTAGGCTTTTTGCTGTTAACACGGCCTTTTCATAGAATAGGCAGTGTTTACATTGCTGCCTAGTAACAACTTCAGTGGCCACTCCTCAGATGGCCATTAGAGGTGCTTCCTGAATCAGTGCTGCACAATGCGCAGCAATGACATTCAGTGTCTCCGCGCCCTGCATGGAAACGCTGATAGCTTCCCATAGAGATGCATTGATTCAGTGCATTTTTATGAGGAGATGCTGACTGGCTAGGGCTGCGTTTGGCCCCACCCCGCCTCCTTGTCTGAGATCATCTGAATTGACGTTCTCAGCCAATCCATTGCTTTCCTTTGGAATAATCATTTCTGATATCAGCCAGGGAAGAGGATTGAAGGCAAAGCCAGCACCAGCAGCCATGTGCAGCACTGGGAAGAAGGTACGTTTTCTTATAATTTAAAGGGGCCAGGGACCCTACATGTGTTTTTACCACAATAGTGTCAGGAATACACATTTGTGTTTCTGACCCTATAGTGTTCCTTTAAACATAACCTGTCCAAAACAGAACTTCTGGTCTTTTCTCCCTCTAGTGTATCTACTCCCATGTATGTCTCCCTCTGAGTCAATGGCTCTACCATAACCTCTACCTCGCAGGCTCGCTGCCTACGTGTTGTCTTTGAATTTGATCTCTCCTCCACCCCTCATGTCCAATCAATTGCCGAATCCTGCCGCTTCCATCTCAAAAACAGAGTGCGCATCCGCCCATATTTAATGCCAGATGCGGCTAAGGAGCTGGTCCTTGCATTGTCCTCTCTCGCCTTGACTACTACAATCCCCTTCTCAGGTCTTACTTGCTCCCAACTTGCGCCGTTACAGTCTATAATGAATACGGTGGCAAGGCTCATCTTTCTGTCTGTCTGCACCCTCCCACACTTCCCCGAAGACTTCTTTAGGGCTCCTTTGGAACTCCATTCCCTGCTTTGTTAGACTTTCACCCAGTCTTCAAAAAATTATTGAAAACTCACTTTTTTAGGAAAGCGTATCAATTAAACTGTTAATAGCTTTCCCTCCCCCACACCCTGATTCCTCTCCTAAAACTGTAATTAAAAAAAACAAAAACACACTAAGCCCTCAGTGAATACTACTCTACCCTACGCTACTCTTACCTTTAGTGTCACAGTACCCCACTCCCTCTAGCATGTAAGCTCATTGAGCAGGGCCCTCAATCGCTCTGTTCCTGTGAGTCCTACTCGTCTGGTTACAAATACGTGTCTTTTAGTCCACCCATTGTACAGCGCTTTGGAATTTGATGACGCTATATAAATAATAATATTAGGAAATATATAGCACCAGTACTTGTTTCTATCTTCTATAAAAAGTCATGCAACGATCCAAGGAAAACCCACTCTGCTTTGACTAAAACAGTGACTTACACACATGGAACGGCAGCTGGTGTTTACCGTTTTATCAAGGACATATCTAACATCATTTATATTCATATAATATGGAAAACCTCTAAATATCACAGCTAATGATACTTCATTTACGGACATCAAGTCTGGATGGCTGAGCATTTTGTGAATTATTGTCCGCAATCCCTCCATGGACAGTAAAATTCTAATTCTCATCATCCTCAGCCCTTTACGAGTACCAGCTGAGAATAATTTTTTTCATGCTTGTGCTGAATCCCACCCTGCCTGCGCTTTCTCTCTGAGCTTTGTCCCTCTGACTCAGTTTGTTAATATTGCTGACATCCGAATCCCCACCTGTACTTTTATTATTATAACTGGAAGCTGCAAGCAGTGGAAATCCTGACTCCTCAGAGCCCCACCTGCTACAGAAGAAATTATTCTAACATAGAGCAGTAATCCACCAACTAACCACTAGATGGCAGGAAAGTACCTTGCCAAATGTAGAATTCTATTCTGCATTAGCCGTGGTGTGCTACGTCCTTGTTATTAGTTATAAATGAACAATTAGTTAAAAAATTTAAGTTTTTTTTTTTTGCCTTGTATTGTATTAATGAGTTTATAAATCATAAATCAGTTTAATTGATAATACAGATATCTAGTGAAAAAAAGTAAATTTTATTAAAAATGTTGTTTTAGAAAGTTATAGCCAAATGCTGATGTGGCATGCTATTCACAGAGCACCCATCTAAGATCTGGCATAGTACTTGCACTAACAGAAACATGGCTCTCTCTCTGATACTGCTACACCTGCCTCACTGTCTTTTGGTGGTCTTCACTTTACCCACAACCCAAGACAAGCAGAGATTAAAGGTGGCGGTGTAGGTTTTCTTCTCTCACCCCACTGCTCCTTTAAAACCCTGTCCACCCCCCCTTCCCTCTCTTTTCCATCATTTGAAATTCATTTAATCCGCCTTTTCAAACCCTTCTCTGCTAACATTGCCGTAATCTATTGTCCCCCTGGTTCCCCTCTCCTCTTCCTTGACCACTTTGCTGCCTGGCTACCCTACTTCCTCTCTTCCAACATCCCATCCCTAATTCTTGGAGACTTCAATATTCCCATTAACCCACCTTTAACCCCAGCAGCCTCTAAACTACTTTCAATCACTTCCTCCCTTGGACTTTTGCAGTGGGCTAATTCTCCCACTCATGTAGCTGGCAATACCCTCGACCTTATTTTCTCTTATTCATGTACAGTATCTAATATCTGCAACACTCCATTTCCTCTCTCTGATCACCACCTCTTATCGTTTGCTCTCAATTACCCCCTCACCCAAAAATCTCAGCCTAACCACCCTCAGCTCAGGAGGAACCTTAACTCTATTGACCTCCAGCAGCTGTCAGCTGACATTGATTCACAACTGCTATCCATCCCTTCCCTCTCCTGTCCCTCACTGGCCATCTCCACATATAACACTACCCTCACATCTGCCTTGAACACTGCAGCCCCACTCAAAACATGCACCTCGAGGAGGACACGACCCCAACCTTGGCATAATAAATCAACACGCTATCTGCAGAGTTGCTCCCGTTGTGCTGAATGCTCCTGGAGGAAGTCCCGCACCCAGGTAGACTTTCTCCATTATAGATTCATGTTGCTTTCATACAGCGCAGCCCTCTCCCTCGCCAAACAGTCATACTTTTCCTCTCTCATTAGTTCATGCTCCCGCAATCCCAGACGCCTCTTTGGCACATTTAATTACCTTCTCCGCCCTGCTGTGGCCACCCCCCAAACTAACCTTACAGCTGATAGCTTTGCATGCTACTTTACCGACAAGATTGAACAGTTAAGGAAACAATTCTCCCCTCCTTGCCGTTCTCTTTCTCAACCACATGTAAATCTTGCTTTCCCTACCCTCCAGACTTTCTACCCGGCTACTGAACAAGAGGTGGCTGCGCTTCTCCATTCCTCTCACCCCACCACTTGCCCGCTCGATCCTGTCCCATCTCACCTCATCAGATCTCTCTCCCCTTGTCTTGTGCCTACCCTAACACACATCTTTAACTGCTCTCTCTCTTCTGGCACTGTTCCTGCTGACCTTAAACATGCCACTGTAATACCTATCCTGAAAAAAACATCTCTTGACCCATCCTCCCCTTCTAACTATCGTCCCATATCCCTGCTCCCTTTCTCATCAAAGCTTTTGGAAAGACTTGTCTTTACCCGTGTGTCCCGCTTCCTTAATTCCAACTCTCTCCTTGACCCTCTTCAGTCTGGCTTCCGCCCTCTCCACTCTACTGAGACTGCTCTTATCAAAGTGACTAATGACCTAATCTCCGCTAAATCCAAAGGTCATTACTCCATATTAATTCTCCTTGACCTCTCTGCTGCCTTTGACACCATTGATCATGCTCTCCTCCTTCAAACTCTTCAATCGCTCGGTCTCTGTGACTCTGTCCTCTCTTGGTTTTCCTCCTATCTCTCCCAACGCTCATTCAGTGTCTCCTTTTCCAAGGATACCTCCTCCCCTCGTCCTGTCTCGGTTGGAGTTCCCAAGGGTCTGTCCTTGGTCCCCTTCTATTTTCTCTTTATACTGCCTCTCTTGGTAAACTTATTGCCTCTTTTGGATTCCACTACCACCTGTACGCTGATGACACTCAGATATACCTCTCCTCCCCGGACCTCTCCCCTGCCGTCCTGCAACGTGTCACTGCTTGCCTTTCTTCCATCTCTGACTGGATGTCCTCACGCTTTCTGAAACTTAACCTCTCTAAAACTGAACTCCTTGTTTTTCCTCCTCCTAATACTGATCCTCCTCTCTCGCTCTCCCTTCAAGTCAGTGATATCCACACAAGTCCATCCCTGCAAACGCGCTGTCTTGGCGTCATACTTGACTCTGGTCTCACCTTTGGGTCTCACATCCAGTTTGTTGCCAAGTCCTGTAGGTTCCAACTCAAAAACATAGCCCGCATCCGCCCCTTTCTTAAGCAAGATGCTACCAAGGAGCTTGTCCATGCTCTAGTAATTTCCCTCATGGATTACTGTAACCCTCTCCTGATTGGTCTCCCCAAAAGCCGTATTGCCCCGCTACAGTCTGTAATGAATGCTGCAGCTAGACTGATTTTCCTCTCTAGTCGGTCCTCTCACCCCTCTGCCAGTCCTTATATTGGCTCCCTGTATGCTATAGGAGTCAATTCAAAGTGCTAACCCATACATTTAAAGCACTGAACAATTCTAGCCCCACTTATATCTCTTCACTAATCCATAGATATGCCCCTCCTCGTACCTTCCGCTCTGCCCATGACCACCTCCTGACCGCTGCTCGCACCCGTACGGACAACTCGCGCTTGCAGGACCTCTCGCGGGCGGCTCCTCTCCTATGGAATAGCTTGCCTACTGCCATCAGACTCTCCCCTAGTCTTCAATCATTTAAGAAGGGCCTTAAAACCCATCTCTTAAGGAAAGCTTATGGCCTCCCAGAGTAATCTCTACCTTACATACCTGTCTCCTGCTCTCTCCTATGGGACAGTGCTTTGCTCTCTCCTCCAGCTCTGCTTCACTTCTGCCTGCGTTTTGCCTCTGTTCTTCTTTGATTTGCCCTGCTTGGGACGCATAAAGGTCCCTGGTACTCTGCTATAATAGAGGAATAAAGGTTCCGGTACTCTCCTATAATAGAGGAATAAAGGTTCCGGTACTCTCCTATAATTGATAAGTAGAGTTTCTGGTACTCATCTTTAATTGAGGAATAAAGGTTTCGGTACTCTCCTATAAAAGAGGTATAAAGATTTCGGTACTCTCCTATAATAGAGGAATAAAGGTTTCGGTACTCTCCTATAATAGAGGTATAAAGGTTTTGATACTCTCATATAATAGAGACATAGATGTTCCAGTACTCTTCTATAATAGAGACATAAAGATTCCGGTACTCTCCTGTAATAGAGGTATAAAGATTCCGGTACACTCCTATAATAGAGGTATAGAGATTCCGGTACTCTCCTTTAATAGATACATAGATGTTCCGGTACTGTCATATAATAGAGACATAGATATTCCAGTACTCTCCTATAATAGAGACATAAAGATTCCGGTATTCTCCTATAATAGAGGTATAAAGATTCCGGTACTCTCTTATAATAGAGGTATAAAGATTCTGGTACTCTCATATAATAGAGACATAGATGTTCCGGTACTCTCAAATAATAGAGACATAGATGTTCCGGTACTCTCAAATAAAAGAGACATAGATGTTCCAGTACTCTCCTATAATAGAGGTATAAAAATTCCGGTACTCTCCTATAATAGAGGTATAAAGGTTTTGGTCCTCTCATATAATAGAGGTATAAAGATTCCGGTACTCTCATATAATAGAGACATAGATGTTCCGGTACTCTCAAATAATAGAGACATAGATGTTCCAGTACTCTCCTATAATAGAGGTATAAAGATTCCGGTACTCTCATATAATAGAGACATAGATGTTCCGGTACTCTCAAATAAAAGAGACATAGATGTTCCAGTACTCTCATATAATAGAGGTATAAAGATTCCGGTACTCTCCCATAATAGAGGTATAAAGATTCCGATACTCTCCTGTAATAGAGGTATAAAGATTCCGGTACTCTCCTATAATAGAGGTATAAAGATTCCGGTACTCTCCTATAATAGAGACATAAAGATTCCGGTACTCTCCTATAATAGAGGTATAAAGGTTTTGGTCCTCTCATATAATAGAGACATAGATGTCCCAGTACTCTCCTATAATAGAGACATAAAGATTCCGGTACTCTCCTGTAATAGAGGTAAAAAGATTCCGGTACTCTCCTTTAATAGATACATAGATGTTCCAGTACTCTCATATAATAGAGACATAGATGTTCCGGTACTCTCATATAATAGAAACATAGATGTTCCAGTACTCTCCTATAATAGAGACATAAAGATTCTGGTACTCTCCTATAATAGAGACATACAGATTCCGGTACTCTCCTATAATAGAGGTATAAAGGTTTTGGTACTCTCATATAATAGAGACATAGATGTTCCGGTACTCTCCTATAATAGAGGTATAAAGATTCCAGTACTCTCATAGAATAGAGACATAAAGATTCCGGTACTCTCCTATAATGGAGGTATAAAGGTTTTGGTACTCTCATAGAATAGAGACATAGATGTCCCAGTACTCTCCTATAATAGAGGTATAAAGATTCCGGTACTCTCCTATAATAGAGGTATAAAGGTTTTGGTACTCTCATAGAATAGAGACATAGATGTCCCAGTACTCTCCTATAACAGAGGTATAAAGGTTTCGGTACTCTCCTATAATAGAGGTATAAAGATTCCGGTACTCTCCTATAATAGAGGTATAAAGGTTCCAGTACTCTCCTATAATAGAGACATAAAAATTCCGGTACTCTCCTATAATAGAGGTATAAAGATTCCGGTACTCTCCTGTAATAGAGGTATAAAGATTCCGGTACTCTCCTTTAATAGAGGTATAAAGGTTCCAGTACTCTCATAGAATAGAGACATAGATGTCCCAGTACTCTCCTATAATAGAGATATAAAGATTCCGGTACTCTCCTATAATAGAGGTATAAAGGTTCCAGTACTCTCCTATAATAGAGGTATAAAGATTACGGTACTCTCCTATAATAGAGGTATAAAGATTCCGGTACACTCCTATAATAGAGGTATAAAGGTTTTGGTACTCTCATAGAATAGAGACATAGATGTCCCAGTACTCTCCTATAATAGAGACATAAAAATTCCGGTACTCTCCTATAATAGAGGTATAAAGATTCCGGTACTCTCCTGTAATAGAGGTATAAAGATTCCGGTACTCTCCTTTAATAGATACATAGATGTTCCAGTACTCTCATAGAATAGAGACATAGATGTCCCAGTACTCTCCTATAATAGAGACATAAAGACATAAAGCTCTCCTATAATAGAGGTATAAAGGGTACTCTCCTATAATAGAGGTATAATAGAGGTATAAAGATTCCTTTACACTCCTATAATAGACGTATAAAGGTTCCAGTACTCTCCTATAATAGAGGTATAAAGGTTCCAGTACTCTCCTATAATAGAGACATAAAGATTCCGGTACTCTCCTATAATAGAGGTATAAAGGTTTTGGTGCTCTCATAGAATAGAGACATAGATGTCCCAGTACTCTCCTATAATAGAGGTATAAAGGTTCCGGTACTCTCCTGTAATAGAGGTATAAAGATTCCGGTACTCTCCTTTAATAGATACATAGATGTTCCAGTACTCTCATAGAATAGAGACATAGATGTCCCAGTACTCTCCTATAATAGAGACATAAAGATTCCGGTACTCTCCTATAATAGAGGTATAAAGGTTCCAGTACTCTCCTATAATAGAGGTATAAAGAGTACTCTCCTATAATAGAAGGTTCCAGTACTCTCCTATAATAGAGACATAAAGATTCCGGTACTCTCCTATAATAGAGGTATAAAGGTTTTGGTACTCTCATAGAATAGATACATAGATGTCCCAGTACTCTACTATAATAGAGACATAAAGATTCCGGTACTCTCCTATAATAGAGATATAAAGATTCCGGTACTCTCCTTTAATAGATACATAGATGTTCCAGTACTCTCATTTAATAGATACATAGTTGTTCCAGTACTCTCCTATAATAGAGGTATAACGATTCCGGTACTCTCCTATAATAGAGGGATAAAGGTTCCGGTACTCTCCTATAATAGAGGTATAAAGATTCCGGTACTCTCCTATAATAGAGGTATAAAGATTACAGTACTCTCCTTTAATAGATACATAGTTGTTCCGGTACTCTCCTATAATAGAGACATACAGATTCCGGTACTCTCCTATAATAGAGACATAGAGGTTCCGTTACTCTCCTATAATAGAGGTGTAAAGGTTCTAGTAATCTCCTATATGAAGGAAAGAAATGTTATTAGAATATTAGAATACAGATTCTGGCATTCTCCTGTACTAGGAGAAACACAGTGGTATTTAATTCTGGCATGGAGCTCCCTATAGAAAGCTCTGGTGCACGAATAGTTAACCAGTAGCAATGCCGGGATCTTTGATTGCTCTATCTTGTTTGTAGGAAGAAGGCTGTAAATGATTTCAGTCCATGTGTTGTGCGAGCACTGAGGCCGTCCCTGTAACACACGCAATGTGCCGATCATAATGCAAAGCAGAAGGCAGCAAGAACCACAAGCAGAAATAATTCCATACGGACTGGGCTACACCTCAGTCCAAAGCTGCAGGGCGGAGGTTTTCACAGGAAAGGGTCACACGTCAGGATCCCACAGTGATGTCAAAAGATTCCAAACAAACTGTGCACATCATGCCAAACGAGCCTGTTAGCATCGCAGTGCCTGGGTGGAGGGCAGCCCGGCAAAGCGGCAATTTAAAGGACCAGACTGCACGCGTGGCCTTACATTTGAATTCTCACTTTAGTGAATACCTCTGCCAGTGTGATAGTATAGGGATAAGTCTGCAGGATGGTGAGCGCCACACTTGAGTATTTAACATAAGGTAAATATTCTTTTCGCACAGATGGTGAAAGTGTGAATGGAACATATCAGATTGGTGGGATTGTGATCGTATGTTTAACGGCTCGTCGGCAGCCATAACGCGAGGCTTTAAGTTCCCTATATCTCAGGTACTCGTAGTGCCAGTAGGAATTTGGTGCATCGCTACATGTGCACAATACAATCCCAAGAATGCCGCCACGCACAAGATGGTGTATTTATCCAGGATAATAGAGCTGCGGGGACAAAGTGAGGAACATTCTGAGAAATGGGAATTGCCTGAAATTTAAAGTGAATCTCAAAATTGGTGCTAAAATAGTTGTATGAAAATTACATTTTAAGGTTGTCGTTTTTTGTGCCGCGAATGTTAAATTCCCTTTTTATTCCCAGCAATTCCCACCTTAGTGAATAACAATGTGAGTGTTCTGTTCTAACAAGTGATCTAAGAGTGGGGCGATCACCATAGAAACCAGTGGAACCAGCAGCCACATTCCGATGCTGACTCCAACACTTTACATATTTGAAGCACTGTCTGGGACAGAACTCTTGGTAAATCTCCCCATTCTAGGTGTAGGTCTAGTTTATTCTTTTTTCCCAGCAGATGTGAGCTGCAATCTGATAAATAATTTACACCAACAGAAATGGTTTGAAACCAATATTGGAAATAAAATTATTAATTTAAGTTATGACGTATGAAGAAGCTATCAGCAGGGCCTGGGGCACAAGATATAAATGAATGACTGTCTGACCGTTTGAGGCAGGCGGCAGATATGAGCTGTGGGCGGGGTCACCAGAATGATCTCCCATTGGCTGAGTTTATTCCCCCCCCACCATCAGGTGTTTTCACTCTTGTTCTTTTTATCCCACACACTGCGATGTTACAATGTAACTGCTTGTGTAATCTGTTACATATTAATCAGAAATACTCTACTTCAAACCACTTTGTCGGCCAGTCATACAGTGCGATTGCCCCCTTGTTCCTCCCATTGCGCAGTTTGTTACTCATTAAGCAGGAGAGAATTTTTCCGCGATCAGCATTTGATTTTTAACTAGATCGCAGCTGACAGTTCCTCTGCAAACATTAACCGGCACTGGCACTGTGTCTGCTAGTGGCCTGGCTCTCGGAATAACTAAACACTTTGGATGGCTTTCCCCATTAATGACTCACTTGTCCTTGTGGTCACAAAGAGTCATTTCAATAACTAACTGACAAAGAGCCAGATTAGCACAGGGTGCTATAGGACAGCAGCTCAGATCCTGCGTGTGTGATCTCTGGTCACTATAATACATTGCAGTGTCTGTACATTATCTCAGCCGCACGCATACAATTATTCATATAGTGCCAACATATTCTGCAGCACTGTACAACAGGTAAAAAAATAAAAAGGCACATGTTTGACATACGGGGACAATGGGTGAAGAGGGCTCTGTCCAGACGAGCTTACATGGAATCGTGTACACCGACACCAATCACTCCTTCAAAAATGACATAAACAAAGACATCGTCATCTTCAAGCTACACTCAGAGAGGTAGAAACACCAGCGACTGGTTTTCAGGAAACCTGTAAGGGGTCCATTTATTTACTTTGTACATTATTTAAGGATAAAAATGGTGTAAATCTAGCCCAAATAATCCCTTTACACTGCCGCTCTCACTGGCTGTAAGCGTTAGCTGCACACTGACAGCCAATCAGCACAGTCCTCTATGGGTCATGCTTGTACTCAGTGAAGACATTTGGCTTCTGTTGGAGGAGAAGACCGAATGTGACTCAGGTGCCTTGGAAACCCAGGTAGTTTGTCAAACTGTGCTAAACCGGTTTGACAAATTACATTGCAAGGGCACCATAACCACTACAGTAAATATATTTCCCCCCATCGTTAGAAGATATGTTCCAGTCCAGTAATCCATTACTATCCCGTTCTCATACCTGCACCTCTAACCTGACACCTCTATATAGAATGCCCTCCTGCACAACATCTGACTCTTCCCGTCTCTCTGCAGTCCTTCAAAAATCCTAAAAGGGATCTCCCCATCTCTGCACTCCTTCAAAAATCCTTAAAGGGACACTATAGGCACCCAGACTACTTCATTTCACTGAAGTGGTCTGGATGCACTGTCCCCCTCAGTCCTGTAATGTAAAACAATGTAGGTTCTCTCCATTGACTGACATTGGAGGAGGCCAACCCAGCACAGAGGGACATCGGTGTTTAAAGGGCTTATAAACCTTTATATGGCCGGGGGAGGACGCGGGGCAGAGGGAGTATAGTGTAGGAAATCAACTTTGTATTCTTAGGATTGCAGTGTTCCTTTATAAACATCCTTAGAGAAGCCTGTCAGTTGGCCTTTTAACTCCTCATCCACTACAACCATCCTTGGTTATCTCCCTTCTACTGTTACCCCTCCTCCAAATCAGCTATCCTCAGATATAACCAAATTCCCTTATGTCCCTCTGTGTATTTGTTCAGGGCCATCTTCATCTGCTGTTCTCAAATAATAATAGCAAAGCATTTAACCAGGAAAGGTACATTCAGATTACTCTGGTTTTCAAATACGTCCTGGGGATGTTACTTTAAAATGTCAAACTTGTTTTGTCAGAATGAATTGTCTTGGTCTATTATACAGCGCTGCGGAGTATGTTGGTGCTATATAAATAATTGTAATTGTCACTTCGTACTGTTTAGATTTGTATTGTATATTGCATCTAATGGCAGAGTTGATGAGAAGTGTTTTTGCTTCTTGTTTTAGGATCTTGGTATATTGACGCCATTGTAAAATCTGAGTCTTTTGAAGAAGGTCGTACCGAGATGATGATGCAAAGCCAGGCAGAGGCTCAGGAGCTGAGAAAGGTAAAATCTAAAGATCTATCACTGAAACTCACTAGATTATTCCTGCTTCTTCTAGAATCCCCTCCAGGATAATTTATCCCAGCGGTTTACCCTTCGAAAGTGAATGACATGATTGAGCTGGGAAATAATGTAATAAATGGTTGGATAAAAAAAACGGGAGTTTGCATCACAGCCTAGTGGCACCATGGTCACAAATATGGGCTGTAGTGGTTATGGTGCTTAGGCAGCCCCTGTAATACTGTTTTATCATTACATTTGTACATGCATTGCCACTGCATTTTACATTAATGAATATTCAGAATTGCTCTTCCCTGCTTGATTTCCTCTGATTTTGCTGCCGGTCGAGGATTCCAAGATGTACCAGTTTTGTGGGTGTATCCGGTAAGAATTGTAACCACAGTGATTATTAAGTGGTTGGCAATGCTGCAAGTTTGTATATTTGTGGGTTGCTACAGTCTTGCTATTCTTAGAAAACCATATGCAGGATATGCTACAGAACCACACATATACATTATCCAGCAACTCTTCTCAAACAAATCTAACCAGGGGAATCATCACACGGCTTTCAATCACTCAGTGGATCAAATCAGGTGGATTCAATTTCAGAGAAAGCCTTTTCTCATTATTTTAGCCGTTACGTATGTATGAGCCATTCTGCAGCTCCGTGTGTTTCTTAAAGAAATAGTGAAAGATTTATGGTTCCCTTCAATCACTTGTTTGAGTTTAACGCACCTACAAAACAGGCATTTAAAATCATATTTAAAAGCATGTGGTGTTCACAGCTTATTTTGAAAAACTGTAGCCACGATTGTGTCTGATCGTGTCATAACATCAATGGAACTGTCAGTAAGCTGATAGCATACCTCCCAACATGTGAAGCTATAAGATCAGGATGGGTGGGCAACGGGGGACATCATTGGCAATACCTGTAATGGCCCCAAACATAACGTACTGTGCAGAGAGTGTTGCTGAATGGTCCTAATGCCTGTTCACAGCGCTCGCTTGTCTAGTGAGGCGCTTGCTCTGTAATGCCCAAAGATTGGTACGTGGTGTACAAGTATGTGGGAGAATACAGAACTAAATCTGGTAAGTCAAATATGCCCTTCTTAAATTGGGACTGATGGGAGGCCTGTGATAATAGATGTTTTAACATCAACTGCATTTATCCTGTATGAGGAATGGGATTCATGCCAAGTAATTAAAGTGACACTATAGGCATCAAAACAACGTTAGCTTAATGAAACAGGTTTTGTGTATAGATCATGCTTCTGAAGTCTCACTGATCAATTCTCTGGCATTTATAAGTTAAATCACTTTTGTTTCTGGTTATGCAGCCCTAGGTACACCTCCCCTAGCTGTGACTCGCACAACCTGCATGAAAAAATAAACTGTTTTATTTGCAATCAGATGTTAACTAACTTTGGAAGTTTTTATCTCCTGCTCTGTAAATTGACTTTTAATCACACACAGGAGGCTCCTGCAAGGTCTAGCAAGCTATTAACAGGGCACAATATAAGAAATTCTAAATTAAACAGAATGTGCAATAAAGGAAGTTTAAACATTAGATCTTACTTCACAGAAAGTGTTTTGGAAGGCTGTGCATGCTACATGCAGGGAGGTGTGACTAAGGCTGTAGTTAAAAAAAAAAAAAGGAAAAAAAAAAGAGATATTTAACTCTTAAATGGCTGAGAATTTAGCAGTGAGACTGCAGGGGCATGATCTATACACCAAAACTGCTTCATTAAGCTAAAGTTGTTTTGGTGCCTAGAGTGTCCCTTTTACAATATAAACCTCTAGGGATCAGACTCCAGTTTATAGAATGAAAGCATCTTGATTGGCTGAGCTACTTCCTGGTCTGGACAAAGTTCTCAGCAAAACCTGAAAATCCAGCACTTTAAGGCAAGTGCCTTATTTTGTTCAAATGTTTATATTGTATTTTTATATGCATTAATTATCATTGACTTCATACATTAAAACAGAAGTCACTTCTAGCCTGGGAAATCAAAGTGCACATTTATTTTCACATTTTAATTCCTAACTTAGAGCATCGAACTTTGCCAATCTTTTCCGGGAGATGCATAGATCTGCCTATTGTGGATACATTTATTTTCTACCTTAGTGTCTACAGTAAAGCAAAGCTGAAGTAACAGAGAACTGACAGTTTTATTACTGAACTAGGAATTCTGGAGAATTTACCAGGGAATCACACATTTATTCCAAAATTAAAAAAAAAGAAGTGGAGAATTTTTCTATTTTGGCATAAAATGTCCAGCTGTCTTATCAGTTCTCCACAGATCCCAGTTTAGCAAATAAATCCCTTAGTTCCTTTTGTTATGAAACTTTTCTTTATTAACTTTTCATATAAATAAAATGATACATCTATTTGCCCAAGTTTAAGAAAAATGTAAGTATTAAATTAATCCATGTGGTGTAGATTTTTTTGCTTCCTGTAAAGAATCCTCATTTGTCAGTTCTAGTCTTTGCCCTGCATCTCGATTCCTACATCAGTCCCTCTTACACGCCAACCATTTGTATTCACATCATTTATAAACCTTTCCTGGCTCTCGTAAAGCCACATTTAATGAATAAAGTGGAATATCAGATGATAAAAAATAAATAAATAACAGGTTTCGCTGAAGAATTGAATTTTTTTTATACATATAGAAGACTATTGTGAACGCCTGTCAGACGTACACCAAAGTATTCATCTGATCAAAATATCCAAACATTTGTGGTCGTGTGGGCTGAGGTCCATCAGTCTTATTGATTTTTGGGAAGCCAGCTCAGTTTCTGAGGCCTGCGGGCAGACACGATGCTGGTAGGTGTAGGAGAGAGACTGACAATATTTCGAGAGGAATGCGGTTTAGAGGGGAAGGGGCAGTAACTGTAACTGGTCGTTCATTAACCGCATTAAAACATTTAGAAGCAGAATGAACGTGCGGTCGTTCGGAATAGATAGTATTACGTTGCCTCGTTTTCAAACATTAAACCTGTTGAAAATAGCAAAGTGAAATAAGAGCGATCGCAGATTGCAGTGAGGCCTTCTGAAGGTATATATTGAAATCCCCAGAATGATAAAAATAATTGCATTGTTTTCAAATGCATAACAGGGTAAGCTTGCGATAGATTCGTCATCAGTAGTTGTGTGATCACAGTTTAATCTATATATTCTCTAGTGTGACGGGCTAGTGGTTTGAAACTAAGAACAGCTAAACGCACCCTTGCTATTCATAGCAGTTCATATTTTTATTTTTGTCCAATTTTCTCTAATGCGTGTGCGTGTGCGTGCTCGTGTTAGCACAGTGCTCTACTGAATGACGCTTACCTTTCCCACTCCTGACAGCAAATGAGAAATTATTGTAAATTAAATTTTTACCAATGGTTACAATGAAAGTCTAAGTAAAAGCCCTGCATTTAACAAAAGAGGTCTATATTGCAACTCTCAGGGTTATTGGCTAAAGTGGGAATTGTCCGGGATTCAAACAGAAATTTACAGAAATTGCTGAATTTCTAAATCTTCCATCAATGTGAATGACGCAACTACTGTTTCTTACTAAAAAGTTGTTTTGGTTTTTAAAATTGATTTTGATGATCAAAAATACTATTTAGCGGGTTATTTACTCCTATTTGACTTACAAGTTTACGAGTTTAGAAAATATATGTATTTATGACATTTTATATTGTCATTTGAAAACCCAGACTTTTTTCAAACAAACTGGTTACATAGAAACTTGGACGTGGAACAATGTTCAACAACATTTCCGGTTTGTATTAATCACTAATTTGTAGCTTAACCAACCCTGTAAAGACCAATGACATTTTGTAATTACATTATAATTCAGTCTCGCTCCTAATAATTATTAAATTATTACTCTACAATACAGTTCTGGTGGCATTGAAAGAGTTACAACTTTCTATCTTGGCATAGTATTATTTAGGAACAGTGCTGCAGAAAAGTGAGCACAGGCAGTCTTTGGTTCTTAAGGGTTAAAAAAATAAGAAATTCATAACATTACCAGTGTAATTCTGAAATGAAGAGTTTTTAATCTTTATTGCTAACATCTGGGTTTTGGAAGCAGGACTGGTTTTTAGTGGTCGGTAGTATTTGTGTATCCCTGACTAGACAGCTTGTCATCATTCTTGCTTCTGAAACAGTCAGTGACCAAGGCTTGGCCAGACTTCAGACCCCAAGCAATTCTTCTGGCCACCTGCTTGGGACATTTTGCGTGTGCCACAGCCAAAAATACGACATGGATTGAAGACTGACGGAATCTCTGCAGTGTCACCCACCACGTCTAAACTTTGCTGAACATCCCCATAATTCACTAGAAAACTAAATATGACCTGAAATCCCAGCACAACATTTTCACCCACAAACTAAACAAGGAGATAAAATGACGGTTTAGTTTATCGATGCAGGAGAATAAGCTACTCTGCATCTATATACTGCTCCATGAATGCTCTTTAACCTGATTTAGTACGTTGAGCCTTTTCCTGATATGTTTATGCTCCTTCCGAGTAATTTCCAAAAAGCACAGTGACCACTTTTATTCTCACCACTGGTATCACACCGTGAATATTTGGTCCATCAATAGAAAATACATCTTTCTTTAATTCTGCTGTGCATGAATCGACTCCAGAAAACCACTGATTGCCAGCTTTGCCTTAAGACTGGCAAAGCATTGTACTGTCTACTTTATTTTCCCAGTTTGCTAAATATCATTAGATATAAGAGACACAGAGGCCTACACTGTCTTTGTCAGTGTGCATACCCTGGCATAATTGTATTGGGAAACTCAAATGTTACAAATACATGTATTCCTAACGATAGGGCGTTTTTAGATTAATGACCCCCAACAATTAAATAAATAGTGTTCCTGACCTTTCATCCCCCAGTGCCAGTCTTGGTGCAACAGCCATTTCTCTCCTACTGAGTGCATCATTACAGATGATCTCAACTAATCCAGTACTTTCTGTAGAGAAGCATTGGGGGGAAACGGAGCTAATGCTCATGTGCAGCAATCGCTGCGCTCTGCCAATCAGTATCTCCTCACAGAGATACATTAAATTAATCCATCTCTATGAGCAATGTCTGGTGTCCCCATGTCACCGTGAAGATATTGACTGTCAGTCCACCAATGATTGCAGAACCTCACCAGGAAGGGCCTTTAGTGACTGTCTGAGTGACTGCACAGAGAGGTGTTACTAGCCAGCAATGTGAACAGTGAGGTTACTCTGAAAAGACAGCGTTTACTTTGAAAAGCCTGCAGGAACATGCTACAGGCACCAGAATCACTACATTTAGCTTTAGTTGATCTGATGACTATAGTGTCCCTTTAAATAAAGGGGGAAAAGTAAGTTTATCCAAAATGACAGATGAAAGGGACAGATTTGTGTAAACAATGTCCTTCTTCATATTATTAATTCACAATAAATGTCCATAGCATTTGTGCTCATGTTTCACTACTTGCATATGGGTTTCGAAGATCAAAGTTTTTTAAGAACCGTAGTCAATAATACAGTAATTAATCACCTAGAAGGCTCACAGCTGACACTCCGCTCACCTTTAACTTGTTTGGTTCCCACCTCTGGCCTCCTCTGTTATCTGATTGATATCTGTAATAAAACCATTATGTTTTGGTAACTGGGCAGTGACAACAGTTAAATCAGGACACATATCTAGCGGCTTCTTTCTTGTGTGTTTTTGTCCTTGGTTCTGGTGTAGGCGGTGTGACCCTTCTAAGAAGTGTTGGAACACAATAGTCGTCTGTCTCCACAAACATAATGCCAATGACACAGTGCTGATTCTTCAAAAGCGACCTAACAAGAATGGTTTATTTATTATTTTTTTCACCATTTTATTTAGTTTTATTGGAAAGTGATAATTGGTTTTGCCTTATATGGCCACATTTCCTTTTTGACTACAGCTGCACAACGTGACACTTACCTGTACGATATTGATAGACTGTGCTGTCTCTCTCATAGTTTTTCTATGAAAGCTCAGGCAGTCTTGCTGTTTGTCCACGCTGGCTTCCAGTTTAGTTTCCAATTTCCTTGCACAAGTAGTTTTGCTCATTATTTTTCAAATGGAACTGATTGCATCCGGTTTATAAACTATTAATTCACCATGATAAAAATAATTGGAACTATCTTTTATCAAACTTCCCATCTAAGTTTAATATTTTGTTCCACTGCTTTGCAAAATGTGTCTCTGTCTTCCTCTCTCACGTAGCATTTAAATACCTTGAAGACCTTCCACCAATGTGCTCTCTCAGTCCTTGTTAGTAAATTCTCCTGACTCAGCACCTCCACTTCATGCCAGTCTCTCTACTTCTGATAGCAGTATATGTCACATAATGAGTAAATATATACCGGGGTATTGTGTAAGCAGTGGTGGGCTCAAACCAACTTTCGAACAAGGCACAGCATGAGTGTCTCAGGTCTCGGCTGTAGAGTGGGTGAGCACTTTTAGATGGAGGATGGTGGGTATTTATAGTAAGAGATATTAAAACTATTAGTGACAGGCAGCACAGAACTCTCTGTCAGAAATGTCCCCCTCACCTTCATTCCCCTGATTTTCCTTGGGTTTATATATATTAATTCTATATTTGAGTAAATTTTCTTGCTTAATCAGCCATTGGGCAGTCAGTAAGGCTATTGGGGAGAGAAAAAGATAATATTATACACTTACATTTGGCAGGGGCTAGGCTCTGCTGCTGTGCTTTTGCTGTGTTACATCATGTGAGCACTGTAACTCCACATCCTGGTTCTATCAGCCAATAATGGCCCCAGAATTGAGAGGCCAATAGCATGCCTCCCCTCATGGGCAGTCCGAATGGCGACTCAATTAAAATCTCTGAAATTCCTTCTTAAAGGACACTAGGCATGTGCAAAACCTGCTGAAACAGGACAGATTTCAAACCTGCCCCATTTTTTAACATACCTACAAGCTCTCAAATAAGCTTCTCCAAACAGCTACCAACAAGGGAGGAGGGGCCTTGCAGAACAGAAACCTATTACAGTATTAAATTAGAGGTACTCGTTTTTTATATATTTTTTTGGCTTACGACACTCGCTTCTAGAAAAATAATCTTGACATTTCTAAATTACTGCAAATACATTTTCCCGACATTAACACTGGTGGGGAGCTGCCCTAAATGCTCCTATCGACGAGCATCCACTGTTCGAGGTTGCTCGGAAAAAGTTCGGGCAGGAGTAATGTAGTAAACACAGAGAATCGAGATTAGATGTGAGTACGGCACAGCATGATTTAATTAATTTACATAACAGGCAAAGATGGTAAATGAAAATAAATTCTACTCCAAAGAATTAAATATAATAGTACAACAAATAGCTGACATATGGTTAGGCTGTGCTAAAATTGAAGAAGTGACAATTCCTCTTAAAACTTGAGCAGTTTAATAAGGTTTGTTTTCACGTTTTCAATATTTCTTGTCAATCTATTTATAGAAAATTAAAATTAACTTTATTCTTAGCTAAGGCTCTTAATTGTGAACTCTTGTGCGGCTTTCTCCTGGCATTAAAACCAGTTGTCAGTTTGCTCTGGGGGAAGCATTGTGTATATTGTTTGTTTCATAATGTTTAGTGAAAATAATAATAATAATAATACACTCACTGGCCTCCCAACAGCCCTGATTTTGTCAGAACAGTCCCCGTCCTGTTCTGGTTATGGGTATAACTGGGAATACCAGAAAGCACACCGCAAGTCTTTAGATATACATGTGATGTGCTCAGGGCTGTTTGACCTCAGTGGGGGTTCCTGGTTGATTGGCAGGCAGTCTGGCTGCATTTCACAATTTCAGCTCCACCAATTATAAGCCTACCTGGGCAATGCCAACCTCATGCCTTTGGTTATGTAGGGGTTAGTCCTCATGTTTCACTTTTTTTTTTTTAATGATGATGTTAAGGGCATTTTTAAGGGTTAATGGGACACTATTGTCACCAAACAACTTTATCTTAATGAAGCAGTTTTGGTGTATAGAACATGCCTCTGCACACTCACTGCTTAATTCCCTGCCTTTTAGGAGTTAATTCACTTTTTTGATGTAGTCTTGCACATGACTCCTTGCATCTGACTTACACAGCCTTCCTAAACACTTCCTGAAAAGAGTCATCTAATGTTTAAACTTCATTTATTGCAAATTCTATTGCATTTAGAATTTCTTATCTCCTGCTCTGTTAATACCTTGCTAGACCCTTGAGGAGCCTCCTGTAGTATGTAACTAAAGTTCAATTTACAGAGCAGGAGATAAAAACTTTTAAAGTAATTTACATTTGATTAAAAATGAAACTATTTTGTTTTCATGCAGTCTGTGTCGGTCTCAGCCAGGGGAGGTGTGGCTAGGGCTGCATAAAGAGAAACAAAAGTGATTTAACGTCTAAATGGCAGTGAATTGAGCAGTAAAACTTCAGGGGCATAATCTGTGCATCAAAACGGATTCATTAAGCTAAAGTTGTTTTGGTGACTATAGTGTCCCTTTAAGCATCATATTAGGAATATTGATAGAGATGGTATTTGGGTTAAGATTAAGGTTTGAATTAGGATTAGTAAACCAAATTAGTAATCACAGGTTTAGGGTTATGGCCAGAGTCTATTCTAACAATAATTAAAAGTATCACATTATGTATATATATATATATATATATACCCTCAAATAATATGTATTATGTGCCCCATTGTAATGCTGTACGAATGCAGTCTCCTCTCTTGCAGATCCTCATGAAGCTGAAGTGTATTGCATTGGAGGCAGAAAGTGAGCTGGAGAGGCAAGATGAAATGTTGGAAGATATTAGTTCATCCGGTGACAGAGCGTTGGGTCGTATCGATAAAAACGTCCACAGAATGAGGAAACTACTGTAGGAACCCAGCCAGGGCTCCGCGTCGCTTGTTCATGTAATAATGGACTTCATTTCATTGAATTAAATTGTTTACATACTTATTTATAGATTATTTATTTAACTATTATTTGTGAATGTTGATGCCACAAACTTTGCACTCAGCCTTACCAAACCATATTTAGAGTAAAGTAGTTCTATGCTTGTTGCATCTAATTATATTTAACCATCTACAAAACATTAGGTTTTTTCCCCCCCAGTTATTTTCAGTGTTACAAGTCTCAGCCACTAAATTATAAATTGTCAGGATTTAAAGTGATTTTCAGATAATTTTTTTGACAAAATCGATAATGTTTGGGTCAACATTTAAAATTCACTTTGAATTCTGACAATTTACAGTTTTGTGAGCAATCCTGCGAAATATTCTTCAAAATAAAGTTTTCATATATTCTTGGTGGAATTTTATCCAGATCTTGAGCTATTTATTATGTGATGTTAAAAATATTATTTATGAAACTGTGAAACATAATGTCCTTTTGTATTGGTTTTAGAATATTTTGAATGTTTTTTTATTGTACCTATGCAGGCGTTTGGGTAACTGGGTGTCAGCTCAGAACCCTTGCACTCCACACTGACTCCCTCCTTGCCAGTTAGAAGACATTTATCACCTTAAAACTATTTTTAATATAATAATCCTTTCTTCAAATTAGTAGATTTAAAAAAAAAAATCTTAAAAAAACATCCAGGGCCTTTAGTACATAACAGGATCCTTCAGCCATATGCATGCACCTTGAGTCGGACAGTGTTTGAAAACCGACAGTCTCTATGGTCTTCCCGGCTTCACTCTCTGCACAGAAAAAGGGAAGACCATAGAGACTAAATGTTGGTTTTCAAATTCTGAAGAATCACTGACCAGTGGAATACACAGTTACGACTGCATAAATAGCTAAATTCTAAATAAAGGTAGACTGCGAGCTGTTGTAGAAATACAATTCCCATTATGTCTTGTCAGCCATAATTCCATATATAATTGTATGTGTGATCATTGGTAGTTTCTCAGTTATAGATAGCACCTAATGCCTTGCTGGGTTTAGAATTCTTAAACGTTCTATAGGTTTAGTTTACCATTATGTTTTAAATTAAAGGGACGCTATAGTCACCAGAACAACTACAGATTATTGTATTTGTTTTGGTGAATATAATAATTCACTTCAGGCTTTTTGCAGTAAATACTGTTTTCAGAGAAAATGCAGTGTTTACATTACAGCCTAGTGATACCTCCACTGGCCACTCCTCAGATGGCTGCTAGAGGTGCTTCCTGGGTCAGTGCTGCACAATGTGACTGACATTCAGTGTCTCCACCCTCTACATGTAGACACTGAACTTTCCTCATAGAGATGCATTGATTCAATATATCTATATGAGGAGATGCTGATTGACCAGTGCTGTGTTTGGATTGTGCTGGCTCCAGGGCCGGTGCAAAGAATTTTGGGTACATAGGCGAAGATGCATTTTTCCGCCCCCCCCAAAAACATCTTCACCCATGTGCCTCTTAACCTCCCTTTTGTGTTTCTTATCCCGTCTTTTAAATATCTGACTCCCTTTGCCTTTGTGTGTCTCCTATCTCTCCTCTTTGTATGACTCTTACATCCTCCCACATTTTGTGTCTTACTCCTCCCAGCCCCTTTGTGTGACTCCTTTTCTCCTAGCCCCTTTGTGTCTTTTATTCTTCCCAGCTCCTTTGTGTCTCTTTCCTTCTCAAGCCCCGGTGTGTGTTTCTTTCACATCCAGCCCCTCTCCCTGTCCCTTAATGGTCCCCTCCCTTCTCTGACCCTTACTGTACCTCTCCCCTCTCTCCTCCTTTTCCTGTTCCTCAGTGTTCCTTTCCCTTCCCCCCTCCTTTCCCTGTCCCTTAGTGTTCCTCTCCCCTCGCCCCTCTGTTCCCTGTCGCTTAGCGCCGGGGATCCAGGAGGTGGCCTGGCAGGAGGGAGCACTTCCCTCCTGCCGGTCACTGGAATTTTGCGCCCCCAGAGCCAGTGCGCCCTAAGGCGGCCGCCTGTGCCGCCTTATGGACGCGCCGGCCCTGGCTGGCTCTGCCCCTGATCTGCCTCCTTGACGGTCTCAGCCAATCGTATGGGAAAGCATTGTGATTAGCTCACATAATCACTTCTGAAGATGTCAGGCAAGCAGGCAGATCAGGAGCTGAGCCAGCAGCTGCAGACTTAAATACTAGTACAATTTGGCTATATTTAGGGAGGTTAGATGGTGCTTTTAACACCAGGTATACATGTTTGTGTTTCTAACCTATAGTGTCTGGCTATCCTTTTGTTTTTATATATAATTTTTATCTTTTAACATCTATTCAAACAATTTCAATTAAGGTGGCATATCAGAAATCTAGGCCCAGTCTAATGCAAGGACGCTTTCCATAAATACGTATTAGTGGCAAACTTTATTTTAGCTATATAAATCATAATTACAAAAATTAGAATAAAATGTTTACTATAATATTTGTTTTTAAACACACCAGACACGATTTAGCATTAGGTTGTAGACTAGCAAGTATTTTTTTGTATCTGCTCCAGTACAACAAGTCAATTTTTTTATTTTTTTTGTGTTAACACTGAGCAACTATGAGATTTTAAATGGAATAATTGCAACACAGCAATCTGTATGGATTGAAAGCAAGTTATCAGTTGCATGTTTTGTTATGATTTATACACGTAACGTTATGTTTCAATAAAAACATCCTGTCTGATGGTATTTATAATGACTGGTACAGGGCTTGCACAATGATTAACGAAAATATGTGACATCTTAATTTTTCTCATTTTATTATTTCTCTATATGGTTTAATTCCTTGCTATGAAATAAATATATCTCACATGTAGACTTCATCACAGTAGATCATAAACCTCCGCACAGGAAGGTAGTCCAAAGGTCATGCAGCTAGTTCCGAGACAATGCGCGTGACACAGCATGCACAGGGTGTTTACATGTAGTTATGTACACACTGTCCCCGAAAGCTAAATTAACCAATCAAATATTTTTGTATCCTTTACAGAACAAATTGCAATTTATTGTGGCAACAGTTGCTTACCCATACTGCCATGGCTAAATTAAACTCTTTACACAATCGTTCAGTGAAAGAAACTTAATTACAGCATCTGATAAAATGATGGTAGAGACCATCCATTAAAATCCAGATTCCAAAATTCTGATGATCAAAACGAGTCCAGTACCCTCAGGAGGAATTCAGATGCCAAAATACAGTCATTGTTCAGAGTATTTATCTATTTTATTTTGCAATTAAGGATCCAAAGGGCATGAATATTCACCAGATTTTAAGCTTTCGGATACTACCAGATGGGTGAATTTCTGATCCAGGTGTTTAGATCTAGATTGTTGGTCCACAGACGGTTCACACCTCCCTCTAGATTTAGGAATAAAGAGCCCCCTCCCATCGGTATTGGGATGTGGTGTCTAGCAATTCTGACGACATCCAACCACTATATATGGAACAATGGACAGGGGCAAAGGGTGATCAGAGGGAGGAAAATATTTGGATTTCATAGATTTGCTTGGAAAAAGCAGGTGCATCTATTTTACAGACATTTTACAGATTTCCTCAATTGTCGGTCAGAACTGCATTTTTGGTTCTCCCTGTATATTGGGAAAATTAAGACCCAGGAATGGAAAACCCTTCTGAGCAGAAAAAAGTCGATATTAAATATACACATATACAAAATGAAAAACTCTGCCTTTTACATATCGCTACACTGAAAACCTATGGCTCCCCAGTTTTCTTACAATTTTCTATGAAATGTTATGTTAAAAATAAATCCCAGAATGAAATTTCCTAACACAAGCAAAGCTATCGGTAAGTATTTACCACCCTTCTCGTGTACAAACAATCCAATCCTGAAACTGTGATAATATTCTCCCTATTGTTTCCAAACGGCAATCCATAATAATATTACAAGGTGACAGCTCAGGGAATGCCATGCTCACTGTCTCCTTTCACGGGCTGGTGTAAAACTGCAGAAATTAAAAAATATAATTACATTGCTGTTAGTGTATCCAGTGCAGCAGTAAAAACATAGAATGTGAATGCCAAGCTACTGCGTTTCTCGAAGCCTTTGCTCATTCGGAGTTCTCATATTCTCTGTTTTTGTTGCAATGCATTTGCTTGGGCTCTCGCTAAGCTAAAAGGATAATTCATTTACCCCGTGCTCACTGTGCTTAGTGGGGTGTCAGCTACACCTCGCTGATAAGACCCAAAAAAGGCCAAAACAATTCTCCGGAAATTACCGTATCTCTTGTTCAGAGAGAATTTGCCGGCATTTCGGTTCTGGACTGCCCTTGCCAGTGGGATCAGGCTGATATGTAAATAATATAGGTTTATCTTTGTAATGGCACAAATGAGCAAAAACATTTTTGAGACCTGAGCAAGGACTAACCGAAGGGCAAGCTACTGAGTTTCTCTAAGTGTTTGCCCGTTCTCATAGTCTCTGTCCAGTGGAGCAGCTTCGTGAATAAAGCTTTACTCCATCCATTTCAGTATGAGATTCTTGCAATGTGTATGCACAGCATGAGAATATTGAACGCACAACTAGCCTGGACCTCTCTTTGGTCCAGATCAAGTCCGAACTGTTGTAGTACGTATTTATCCCATAATGCCCTGCCGCACAGAACTTTATTGGATCAAATGAAACCACATAGACTGGAATGAGAGGATCCTGATTGACGAGTGTCTTGCTCGTCAGAGAGTGTCTTTGCAAATGTAGCGACTCTATTAACTTTACAGGTATTTTTTACCTTATTATTATTATTATTTTTTTGTGGTGTCTCTTTGATATGACTTTCATTACTCCTTTGTGACAAGGGATCAGACGCATCCTATCGAATCATGACATTCTTGGAGCATTAATTGTCATTAGGTAGCTTGTTATAATCTTCCCAGGTTAGATGACCTTTTTTTAATAAATAAAACAAACAGAGGCTCAGTACAGTTATTAAACTGCAGACTTGTTAATTTTTTTTACAGAACCACAAACTGTTCAGATTTTCAAGCAGTTTTACTAACACTTCCTACATCAATACTTTATTTTGCTTTTCTGCCCCTTTAAGCCATGCATGTGTTTTTAATCTGTTAGTTTTTACTGTTTGTGTTTGTTAAGTTGGTGGTAACTGTGCTGGAAGATGGAGGCAGATAAGGTGGTTGTGGTAAGCGGTGGAATCCCTTTACCGTAATCTCATTCATCACTTTTTGAAGCGGCCAAATCTTTGTGCCAATAAGAAAAAAGAAACAAAGCCCTGTTTATTTCAACAAGTCAATAAACCACTTAAGATTCTATTAGCCTGGGCAAATGATTTGACACTTAAACAAGGAAATGTTAAAGGTGTTCTCAGTCTCATTATTGCAAACAGATGTTTAAAAGACCTACCCCATAGAAACCTTATGATTGATAAAAAAAAATAAAATAAAAAAAAATGACGTACGCAATTCACAGGCCTAGTAAAAAAAATATATACAAAATGTCAATAATATTGGACTTTACAAACTGCCACATTTCTCGAGCCTGAGGGCCAGATTTCCTCTAATCTGACAAAAAGATGCTCTGGATACAGTTTAGAGAGCAGATCTATGTATACTTAAAGGGACACTTCACTGTCCAAATACAAAATAAATACAAATCACTATTTAGTATATGTACCCCCAATGAAAATATGTATTGAATATATATCTTTAATTATCCATCTTTATATTTGGGGTATATCTGTATACTACCTTTACAAGCCCTCCCCTTATAACCCCGCCTAGACTTTCTGTGGCTGTCCAATTACAGACTAACCAATGTAGCTCAATGAGAAATCTTTGCTAGGCAGATGCTCTGGTCAATTGCTGCCTATTAAGTTTATCTCAACTGAGCTAACCAGACCAGGAAATAACAGGGCCATTGTCTGATTGGGGGTGTAACCTGGTTGATTTATAATAGTGAAAGTTTCCATTGAAATCTGCAATTTTTGTAAAATAAAGAAAAGAGGACACACTCTTCACACACAAAGCACTTCAGCAAGAGGAACTTCTGTAGGACTCTGAAGTGTCCCGTTAAATGGGTGCATATAGCATTTACCACACAATATTTATCAGGAGATTCAGCTGATAGAAGCATGTAATTCTTCACCTCTCACCGTGGACATCTGGAAAGAGGACAATCTGTCGGTGCAGCATGCATTGTTTTATACTAGCTACATTGCATTCACATTAAAGGAACTATATCCTATTTGGTGAATGAGAAGAATAATAACTAGTGGTGGAGAGAATTTACTGACCAGTCGCTCACTTTGTGTTGTTAGACGTCTGTAGACGCTACAGATGTTTCCATCACATTTTCTATGAAAATAACCCAACCACACGATAAAAACAACTTTACTCTCTCCATAGATTACATGCCAGAAATTATACAAACATCATGAGCAGACTCCACTGGGCACTATTTCAGTTAATAATTGAACTGGATGATGTTATAGAGCAGATCATTTTAATAGGTTTTCTGTGCCCTCAGGAAGGAAAGGTTTTCAAGGAACATCTCCAGGGCATTGTGTGAGAGAACGTTACTGGACCATCTGTGAGTTCCATGGAAAAAAATATAAAAGAAGTCGAAAGTGAGAATTCAAAGTGAATTACAAATTTAATCTAGAAATATCTAGTTTGGTTATTTTGACCTTTAATTTGAAATTAATTTTGGATTCTCTCTTTAGTAAATGATCGTGTCAATATGCAGCAGAGGACCTCTTTCCATCAGCACAACACTAGAAAATGTGTTATTAAACAGAACAGAATTTCTGGATAAACTTTTAAAATGATCTTTTTCAAAATATTAAAATATCAAAATAGATCACAATAAAAATGTATTATTAAATAACAAAAATAAAAAATATTTTCAAAAATATCATATTATTTGCAAAGATTATACAAAAACATACCTCCCAACAAACGGAAGGGGAGCTTTGCGGGGCCCTGAAGGGGGCTTTGCCAGTGATGCGACCCGCTTTACTAAAAAGCCCCATAGGGGCTGCTGAAGCTCTCCGCATGGTCCTAGCGTGCGCTACAAAGCATGTCTAATGATGCACTCAAGCTCTGCTGCCTGGGGACAGTGCTCTGGTGTCCTCAGATGCAGGACACGTTGGAAATAAATCTTGATGGTGGAACAGGACCCCAAACTTAGGACTGTCCCGCTAAAAGTGGTGTGAAACTACAGCTATCTCATTCTACAGTTCTCCCTGCTCTGTGTGGTCTTTTATTGGATACTTTCACCAAACTAGAGTTGCCTGAAGTTGAGGTATTTTTCGTCTAATATGAAGTGTATTCATTGTAGAGCTGACACACTCACTAACCCAAGCAGCCACACTCACACTCACCCAAGTAGACACACACTCACTAACCCAAGCAGACACACACATACTGACCTACGCAGAAAAACACTCACACTGAGTCTTGCACACACTAACCTTTGCACACACACACTGACCCACGCAGACACACACACTAACCCATGCACACACACACACACTGACCTTGGGGGCATGTGTGGCTGGCCATTGGGCTGAGTAAGGCAGGCTGCTGCTAGACTTGCAGGTTCCTTGCTGGGCAGTGTAGCAGAGGGCAAATGCTATTGATTGCATTGCCTGCTCCTTTATTTTTGTCCCCCTCTATATATATTACCTTCTAATACTTGATAAAAGGACTATT